TTTCAGGATGCTTGCTGGTGCCACGGAGTTCGTGCACTGCGCTTAGATTTTGGGACACAGGCTTGCGTTAGAAGTGAAACGGAGCACTTATGGATGACACTCGTGTGCCATGATGTTGATTCGTTGAATAAACATAAACATATAAACATGCTAACATTCATGAACATATATGCAAACAATAATTTACACTAACACACATTCACAAAGACACACGCGAAATTACATAAAAGTCACACACACACACACACACACACACAATTACACACAGTTACACAGGAAGTACGCACAATTACACAAACAATTGGACTCATAATTACAAAAAGACAAGAGGATGAGAGAAAGAGTGAGAAAGCGAAAGACCGATATGACTGACACAAAAGAGAGACAAAATAAGACAAAGAGAAACAAAGGAAACAAAACAGAGAAAGAAAGTGGGAGAAAACAAGACAGATAGAGAGAGAAAGTGCTCCCCAAAAAACCTAGAGAGACAAAGAGAGAGAGAGAGAGAGAGAGAGAGAGAGAGAGAGAGAGAGAGAGAGAGAGAGAGAGAGACAGAGAGAGAGAGAGACAGAGAGAGACAGAGAAAGAAAGTTGAAGAAATTAGGACAGAAATAAAAAGTGAAGAATATGACAGAGCGAGACAGAAGAGAAAACCAGATAAAGAGAGAAAGAGAGAAAACAAGATACAAGGAGAGAAAAAAAAGAGAGAGAGAGAGAGAAAACAACACAGAGAGAAACAGAGAGAAAAAGATAGAATGAGAAAGTTAGAGAAAAACGATAGAAATGGTATAGGAAAAACAAAATAGAAAACATAATAGAAAGAGAAAGTGAGAAAAACATGATAGAGAAAGTGAGAGGAACGTGATAGAGAACGGGAGAGAAAACAAGACAGGGATAAAGTGAGAAAGAACAAGACAGAGAGTGACAGAACAGAAAACAAGACAGGGATAAAGTGAGAAAGAACAAGACAGAGAGTGACAGAACAGAAAACAAGATAGAAAGAAAGTGAGAGAAAACAAGATAGAGAGAAAGTGAGAGAAAGAAAGACAAAGAGAAAGTCAGGGAAAAATAAAAGACAGAGTGAGAGAAAACGAGCCAGAGAACAAGTGAGAGGAATCAAGACACACACACACACACACACACACACACACACACACACACACACACACATAGAGGGAGAGAGAGAAGACAAAAGAGAAAGTAAGAGAAAATAAGTCACAGACAGAAAGAAAGAGTGGGGGAAGAAAATAACTATCGAGAGAGCGAGAGAGAAAGAAAAGAGAGGGCGAGAGAAAGAGAAAACAGACCAAACATAAAAGTACACATTCTTATGCACTTTAACAAATGAAACGCTTGGTGACTGTTGAAGCAGTAATGACAGCAGCGTTCCGGCCTCTCTCCCCGACAGAGCCCCATGTGTGAGGGGGAGAGGGGATCCTAAAGATTACAAAAACAAGTCAGTGGGGAATCCCCTTCCCCACTCCCCTGACACGCATTCTGTGCAAACAGAATCACCTTGTTGGGGTCAAAGTTCAACGCTCGGAGTGGGTGTGAGAGAGAGTGTGGTTGTTGAGATTGTGTAGTGTGTGCGCGCGCGTGTGTGTGTGTGTGTGTGTGTGTGTGTGTGTGGAAAAGTGAGTGAAGGCGCACGTGAGTGTGTATTTGTGTGTGATGTTTGTGTGTGTGTGTGTGCGCGCGCGCGCAGTTGCACACAAAAATTCACAGCGCAATGTCACGGAGACCCAGATCAAAAAAACTTCGCCCCCCCCCCCCTCCCGAGACTGCCTCCCTGATACCTTCCCTCTCCATCCCCGACTGTTGTCAGCCTTTACTTCTCTAGCTTGCGGGAGATAGGGGGAGGGTATGGAGAGGGGGGAGGGGAACGCAGTCGTTGTGTCGACAAACAATTTTAAATTTTAGGTCGGCCGTCGACTCGTGGCTAGTGACGCGTGCCGGCGAGTACACAACACGGCTGTCGTCTCGACACATGTACAGCACGGCTGGCATCTTTACACATGTACAACACGGCTGTCATCTTGACATATGTACAACACGGTTGTCCTCTTCACACATGTACAACACGGCTGTCATCTTCACACATGTACAACACGGCTGTCATCTTGATACATGTACGACACGGCTGTCCTCTTCACACACGTACAACACGGCTGTCATCCTGACACATGTACAACACGGCTGTCCTCTTCACACATGTACAACACGGCTGTCGTCTCAACACATGTACAACACGCTTGTCGTGTCAACACATGTACAACACGGCTGTCGTCTCAACACATGTACAGCACGCTTGTCGTCTCAACACATGTACAACACGCTTGTCGTGTCAACACATGTACAACACGGCTGTCGTCTCAACACATGTACAGCACGCTTGTCGTGTCAACACATGTACAACACGGCTGTCGTCTCGACACATGTACAGTACGGCTGTCATTTTGATACATATACAACACGGCTGTCATCTCGGCACATATACAACACGGATGTAATCTCGACACATATACAACACGGCTGTCGTCTCGATATATGTACAACACGGTTATCATCTCGACACATGTACAACAAAACTGTCAGAGATGGGACACATGTACAACACAGCTGTCAGAGATGAGACACATGTACAACACAACTGTCAGAGATGGGACACATGTACAACACAGCTGTCAGAGATGGGACACATGTACAACACAGCTGTCAGAGATGGGACACATGAACAACACGGCTGTCAGAGATGGGACACATGAACAACACGGCTGTCAGAGATGGGACACATGAACAACACAACTGTCAGAGATGGGACACATGAACAACACGGCTGTCAGAGATGGGACACATGAACAACACGGCTTTTAATAGCAGTTGAAGTAAAACAGATACTAGCGGTAGTTGACGTAACAAATAAAATAACACAGCTGTGTTTAAAAGTAGTTGAGGTAACAAATAACACAGCTGTGTTGAACAGCAATTAAGGTAACAAATAATACTTTTGTGTTAAGCAGTCGCTGAGGTAACAAATAACACAGCTTTAGGGACTGCGTGTTTTCTTGAACACGTTTAAACAGAATGTAGGTAAGGCCGTCACAGGTTGGCCATAAGTCCCTGGCACTGCTCCACTAACTGGGGAATACCAGAGGGTTTCAAACCGTCGCAGACAGCAACACAAGTCACCACTCATGCGCAACAACCAACATTTAGTTCTGTATACAGTCTAGGCGCGATTTCACAAAGTTATGAGATTCTCAATAACATCTGGTTTTGTTTTCATAAAAGTTAAATCTCGCTTACATCGGGTCGCGGAACTACATTTATGTTATTTCTTGCTTACATCTAGTGATGTATTCACAAAATTACATTATTACTCGCTCACATCTATTGATGTAATCACAACATTACGGAATTTCTCGCCTACATCTAGTGATGTACTCACACATTTATACGACTTCTCGCTTACCTTTGACAATGCTTAAAATAGTTCCATGTATATACTCCCCACATACAACTGACAGATTCTGCTCATTCTCCGAAAAATAATGTATAGTGCCCATCCATTTCCTACATAACTGACACCAATCACCCATCCATTTCCTACATAACTGACACCAGTCACCCATCCATTTTCTACACAACTGACACCAATCACCCATCCATTTTCTACATAACTGACACCAATCACCCATCCATTTCCTATATAACTGACACCAATCACCCATCCATTTCCTTTATAACTGACACCAATCACCCATCCATTTTCTACATAACTGACACCAACTCACCATCCCATTTCCTACATAACTGACACAATCACCCATCCATTTCCTACATAACTGACACCAATCACCCATCCATTTCCTATATAACTGACACCATCACCCATTCATTTCCTATATAACTGACACCAATCACCCATCCATTTCATATACCAATCACCCTATCCATTTCCTACATAGCTGAAACTGACACCAATCACCCATCCATTTCCTACATAACTGACACCAATCACCCATCCATTTCTACTAACTGACACCAATCACCCATCCATTTTCTACATAACTGACACCAATCACCCATCCATTTCCTACATAACTGACACCAATCACCCATCCATTTCCTATATAACTGACACCAATCACCCATCCATTTCCTATATAACTGACACCAATCACCCATCCATTTCCTACATAACTGACACCAATCACTACATAATGACACATTTCACCCATATACATAACTGACACCAATCACCCATCCATTTCCTATATAACTGACACCAATCACCCATCCATTTCCTATATAACTGACACCAATCACCCATCCATTTCCTATATAACTGACACCAATCACCCATCCATTTCCTACATAACTGACACCAATCACCCATCCATTTCCTATATAACTGACACCAATCACCCATCCATTTCCTATATAACTGACACCAATCACCCATCCATTTCCTATATAACTGACCCACCAATCACCCAACTGACACCATTTCCTATCATAACTGACACCAATCACCCATCCATTTCCTATATAACTGACACCAATCACCCATCCATTTCCTACATAACTGACACCAATCACCCATCCATTTCCTACATAACTGACACCAATCACCCATCCATTTCCTATATAACTGACACCAATCACCCATCCATTTCCTATATAACTGACACCAATCACCCATCCATTTCCTACATAACTGACACCAATCACCCATCCATTTCCTACATAACTGACACCAATCACCCATCCATTTCCTACATAACTGACACCAATCACCCATCCATTTCCTACATAACTGACACCAATCACCCATCCATTTCCTACATAACTGACACCAATCACCCATCCATTTCCTACATAACTGACACCAATCACCCATCCATTTCCTACATAACTGACACCAATCACCCATCCATTTCCTATATAACTGACACCAATCACCATCCATTTCCTATCAATGACACCAATCCATTTTCCTACCATAACTGACACCAATCACCCATCCATTTCCTACATAACTGACACCAATCACCCATCCATTTCCTATATAACTGACACCAATCACCCATCCATTTCCTATATAACTGACACCAATCACCCATCCATTTCCTATATAACTGACACCAATCACCCATCCATTTCCTACATAACTGACACCAATCACCCATCCATTTCCTACATAACTGACACCAATCACCCATCCATTTCCTACATAACTGACACCAATCACCCATCCATTTCCTACATAACTGACACCAATCACCCATCCATTTCCTATATAACTGACACCAATCACCCATCCATTTCCTATATAACTGACACCAATCACCCATCCATTTCCTACATAACTGACACCAATCACCCATCCATTTCCTACATAACTGACACCAATCACCCATCCATTTCCTACATAACTGACACCAATCACCCATCCATTTCCTACATAACTGACACCAATCACCCATCCATTTCCTATATAACTGACACCAATCACCCATCCATTTCCTATATAACTGACACCAATCACCCATCCATTTCCTACATAACTGACACCAATCACCCATCCATTTCCTACATAACTGACACCAATCACCCATCCATTTCCTACATAACTGACACCAATCACCCATCCATTTCCTACATAACTGACACCAATCACCCATCCATTTCCTACATAACTGACACCAATCACCCATCCATTTCCTACATAACTGACACCAATCACCCATCCATTTCCTATATAACTGACACCAATCACCCATCCATTTCCTATATAACTGACACCAATCACCCATCCATTTCCTACATAACTGACACCAATCACCCATCCATTTCCTACATAACTGACACCAATCACCCATCCATTTCCTATATAACTGACACCAATCACCCATCCATTTCCTACATAACTGACACCAGTCACCCATCCATTTCCTACATAACTGACACCAATCACCCATCCATTTCCTACACAACTGACACCAATCACCCATCCATTTCCTACACAACTGACACCAATCACCCATCCATTTCCTACATAACTGACACCAATCACCCATCCATTTCCTACATAACTGACACCAATCACCCATCCATTTCCTACATAACTGACACCAATCACCCATCCATTTCCTACATAACTGACACCAATCACCCATCCATTTCCTACATAACTGACACCAATCACCCATCCATTTCCTACACAGCTGATACCAATCACCCATCCATTTCCTACATAACTGACACCAATCACCCATCCATTTCCTACATAACTGACACCAATCACCCATCCATTTCCTACATAACTGACACCAATCACCCATCCATTTCCTACATAACTGACACCAATCACCCATCCATTTCCTACATAACTGACACCAATCACCCATCCATTTCCTACATAAGTGACACCAATCACCCATCCATTTCCTACATAAGTGACACCAATCACCCATCCATTTCCTACATAACTGACACCAATCACTCATCCATTTCCTTCATAACTAACACCAATCACTCATCCATTTCCTACATAACTGACACCAGTCACCCATCCATTTCCTACACAACTGACCCCAATCACCCATTTATTTCCTACATAACTGACACCAATCACCCATCCATTTCCTACATAACTGACATCAATCACCTATCGATTTCCTACACAACTGACCCCAATCACCCATCCATTTCCTAAATAATTGACACCAATCACAGCTTCTTGAGATGTACACATTCTGCCTTTCCACAGGCACATATTGTACAGACTGTCTATAACCCCACATATAACTTTGAGATTCTGCCACTTATACAATATAGTGTTTATCCATGCTCAACACCCACCCCCACCCCCCCTCTCCTATTTCCCCCATACATAATGTACAGAACCTGCCTATTCCCCAGCATAAATGTTCTATCTACACCCTTCCCCTGGATAATTTACATGTGTCTATTCTCCACATAATATATACACACACACATACACATACACACACACACATACATATATATTCATCCATTCCCCATATATAATTTACATTATCTATTCCCCACTTATAATTTACTGTATCCAATCCACGCCTATAATGAAGCCACATTTCTCCCAGATTTACGGTATTTATCATGGAATCAAGGCCGAATGGTTGCGATATCTATAGTACCGAGCCTAAGAGTTAACAAAAAAAAAAATTCGTATGTAAAGTTACACGTGTCTATTCCCTACATATAATTCACAAGCATATTTTTCCTCATCACTCAGTTCATATGTATCTATTGCCTACATATAGTTTATATGTACATATGCCTACCTAAAGTTTATATCCATCTATTCCCTACTTATAGTTTATATGTACATATGCCTACCTAACGTTTATATGCATCTATACACTACATATAGTTTATATGCGTCTATCCCCCAATCAGTTTGTGGCTAAGAGGTTAGGAACGCGTTGCGTAATTCCAAGGTACGTGGCCTTGATTTAACCAAAGGCAATCTGTCAGCAGATCGCTTTGCCCTGAATTTAAGCGTTGATGCTTCAGTTGCGATTTAGTCGCAGTATCTGTTGGTTGCTGGTGGGTGTAATAGAGAATCTGAAGTGTCACGGTTTGTCAATCTGTTACCTACGACTTCCACGTATGACATCCACATATGACATCCACGTATGACATCCACGTATGACATCCACGTATGACATCCACATATGACAGCCACATATGACATCCACGTATGACAACCACGTATGACAGCCACGTATGACATCCACGTATGACATCCACATATGACATCCACATATGACATCCACATATGACACCCACATATGACATCCACGTATGACATCCACATATGACATCCACATATGACATTCACGTATGACATCCACGTGTGACATCCACATATGACATCCACGTGTGACTGCCAACTATAACTGCTAAGAAACAAAATATAAACAGCATATTGATACCAACACTATGCTACCTGCGTCAAAGCTGGCCAATAACAAAGGCTACCCTACCATTAAGAAACCGGAAGTTATGGCTATATCCAAGAAGAACATAATTCCACGTTGGGACATCTCATTTGAAGGGAAAAGGTCTGGCTCGGTAGCGTGGTTGGCTAAACCGGACTGCGCGGTGACCGGGTGACGATCTCTTTGTGGTCCGGGTTCACGCCCGGGGGTAGGCAGACAAGCCACATTTTTCCCAGATTTACGTTATTTATCATGGAATCAAGGCCGAAAGGTTGCGATATCCATAGTACCGAGCCTAAGGGTTAACAACTCATGGCTTCTGGATACTTTATTTAAAAAAAAAAAGGGGGGGGGGGGGTGGGAAATACTTAACCGTCAATAAATTTAAATATTTGGGAACAATCATATCATCAGATGGAAAATGTGTGACAGAGATTAAAAGCAGAATAGGTCAAGCGGAAGCTGCATTTCAGAAAATGAAAAATATCTTATGCAATAAATTGCTCTAATTTAATGTCAAAAAAGAGGCTGCTAAAATGTTACATAGAACCAGTTCTGCTGTATGACAGCGAATCTTGGAATGTCAGTGAACAAATTAAGAAGAATTTGGAAGTAACAGAGATGTGGTTTCTTTCTTCTTTCTTTACGTTCACCAGCTGTACACTCTGGCGGAAAGTTCTGGTTGCTCGTCCATTACTGAACTGCAGTCCTGCTCCAGAACCTGAGTGTTGCGTGTGCATCAGTTTTACAGATCTCATTCTCTTGAATACAGACTGTTGGTTCCTTGCCTCTCCGGCAGATGCACTCCGACTTCAAAGGAAGCTCCCCAATTAGTCGACTCTTACGACATGCTTTTGGGGAGGCAGTGGGTCTATTCTTGTTTTCCCCACAATGGGGCCCCGGAACCCACACGGGGGAGATGTGGTTTCTGAGACGAATGTTACAAATACCTTGGACGGCAAGAGTAACTAACAACGATTGCTTGAAAGAAGCTAATGAAAAGTAGATCTCTATATACAACAGTAAGAAAGAGACAAACACTGTTCTTTGGCCCCATATTGAGGAGAGAGACATTGGAGAACATCGTGACAACTGGAAAGATCAGTGGGAAAAGGGGTAGAGGCGACCAAGAGAGATGACGCTGGATGGGCTGAAACGATGGCATGGAGGGATATCATCGAGAGAGCTGTTCCAGGCAACCAGGGATCGTGATCTGTGGAGACGCATGAGCGCCTACGCCAGTTGACAGGGCACATGATGATGACGAACCTACCTAACATTACCATCTTTGAAACGCGATGCTACGAGGAAAACCGAGAATCTCGAGACAAAGCGAGATGCTCGAGGAAAACCGTGAATCTCGAGACAAAGCGAGATGCTCGAGGAAAACCGTGAATCTCGAGACAAAGCGAGATAAGAAACTATCAGACAGAATGTGACCAGAACATCTTACACTGTATTCCTCAAGAAGAAGATTAAATGGTTCGGTCATCTGGTTATAGAATTCAGCTAAAACAACTGACAGCACAGAAGCTACAGCCATACAGATCTGAAATAACTCTTATTCGACGTCATTTAGGTATCCAGTGCTACATGTGGATTACAATCTATTCCTCCCTTCAACGCTTAACTGCAAAAGTAGCAAATGATGATAATAATAGTTTGCCATTTCTTTTCTTCAGCTGTGCATCCAGGATTGATAAACATAGCTCCGACATGGGCAGATACAGCTCAGAGTGGGCTCGCACATCGCCTAGTGTACGCACTCGCACATCGCCTAGTGTACGCACTCGCACATCACCTAGTGTACGCACTCGCACATCATAGAGGCACTGACAGAACAAAATAGAGGCACTGACAGAACAACATAGAGGCACTGACAGAACAACATAGAGGCACTGACAGAACAACATAGAGACACTGACAGAACAATATAGAGGCACCGACAGAACAACATAGAGGCACTGACAGAACAACATAGAGGCACTGACAGAACAACATAGAGACACTGACAGAACAATATAGAGGCACTGACAGAACAATATAGAGGCACTGACAGAACAACATAGAGGCACTGACAGAACAACATAGAGGCACTGACAGAACAACATAGAGACACTGACAGAACAACATAGAGGCACTGACAGAACAATATAGAGGCACTGACAGAACAATATAGAGGCACTGACAGAACAATATAGAGGCACTGACAGAACAACATAGAGGCACTGACAGAACAATATAGAGGCACTGACAGAACAATATAGAGGCAATGACAGAACAACATAGAGGTACTGACAGAACAATATAGAGGCACTGACAGAACAATAAAGAGGCACTGACAGAACAATATAGAGGCACTGACAGAACAATATAGAGGCACTGACAGAACAACATAGAGGCACTGACAGAACAACATAGAAGTACTGACAGAACAAAACAGAGGCACTGACAGAATAACATAGAGGCACTGACAGAACAACATAGAGGCATTGACAGAACTATATAGAGGCACTGACAGAACAACATAGAGGAACTGACAGAACAACATAGAAGTACTGAGAGAACAAAATAGAGGCACTGACAGAACAACATAGAGGCACTGACAGAACAAAATAGAGGCACTGACAGAACAACATAGAGGCACTGACAGAACAACATAGAGGCACTGACAGAACAACATAGAGGCACTAAAAGAACAACATAGAAGTACTGACAGAACAACATAGAGGCACTGACAGAACAACATAGAAGTACTGACAGAACAAAATAGAGGCACTGACAGAACAATATAGAGGCACTGACAGAACAACATAGAGGCACTGACAGAACAACATAGAGGCACTGACAGAACAACATAGAGGCACTGACAGAGAGACACAGAAGACAACAGAGATATATAAGCAGTTTCCCGTGTGGTTTCTGGGGCCCTGTTATATGGTAAACAAGAATAGACCCACTGCCTACCCAAAAGCATGTCGTAAGAGTCGACTAAATGGGAGCTTCCTTCGAAATCGGAATGCATCTGCCTGAGAGGCAAGGAACCAGTAGTCTGCACACAAATGAGTCAGATCTGTAAAACGGATGCACACGCAACACTTAGGTTCTGGAACAAAACTGCAGTCCAGAAGTGGACGAACAACCAGAACTTGCCACCGGAGTTTACAACCGGTGAACACGAAGAAGAATATATAAGCAGTCAATAGAGAGACACAGACAACAGAGATTTACAAAAAGACGACAGAGATATTAAACAGACTTCAGACAACAGAGGGACACGGACAACAGAGATTTACAAATAGACAACAGCAATATACAAACCGGCATCAGAGACATATAAACAGATAACATAGATTTACAAAGACATTTACAAACAGAGACACATAAACAGGCAACAGAAATATAAAAACAGACAACAGACACACACAAGAAGACAACAGATAACAGAGAGAAAC